TGCAGTCTAGCTAGGCCAAAGGGTAGAAAGCAAGTGCGTTATGTTGAGGGTGAAATCTTAATTCAGACTGAATTAGTTTTGGTTCTCAATGCATTTTTATTTGATAATTAATACTGCTGTAAATTTACTATTGGCTGTTTGAGTTTTAGTTCCATTTACAATATCAAAATTATATAAGAGTCATATGACATGGATTAATCTCGAAATGACGCAGTAAAGAGAGATTACTATTTTTAGAATAGAGAAGGAAAATTAATTTTACGCTGCTAATCTAATCTTTTACATTTTCTTTGTTTTTCTTACCTCTCTCTCTCTATATATATATATATATATGTACATATATCATTCGATGGTTGTGAATTATGACTTTCATTATTATCTTTCTATTAATTTTATTTTCAAAATTATGTAAAGGGAATCAAAACCCAAACAACCTTTTATTTAGCGTTAGTATATTAAAACAATCGATTTCGAGGGCAGCTAAAGGTCCCTCCTCAGGAGAACGAAATTCCTAGAAAGGGGGAAAAAGAAGAAAAATAAAGCATTGGCAAAGGAGTCTTAGAAACATGTGGTCCTTATCAGCACTGCATGTGGTCGTAACCGGATTTTGAATCAGAGTTACACTGGCCGCCTACTTTTACTAAGCCAGGCTATCTGATCAAACATGACTCCGCTCCCTATTTTTTGACTTCGCTGATTTTCTTGCGTTTTAGTCTATGTGTCATATGTTTGATGTAATATGGTATGTAAGTGTCATATGATGATGATGTGTCATATGTTTTGTATGTAAATTTTACAATCGTTGATGATTCTTGAGAATCGAATATAGTCAAACTGCGGATGCAGAAAATTGACTTAAATTTTGCATTCAGTAAATTAATAAATTAATAATAAATAATAATAATTAATAAATTTTGCATTTATATATTTTAATAAATTTTACATTGAGTTAGAAAATTAGAAAGTCTGAATTTACTTCCCAGCTTTAGCCACCATACCAATAGTTACATTTAAATATCAAAGGACCTTAAGCAACTTGCTAACTAACTACCATGAAATACATGAAACAGCATAATGACATTGTAAGTCACCAATTTACAGTAATTACGTAGATTCTCATCACCAGCACATAATTATTGGCAACCTGAATATCATACAAAACCATCAACTAAAAACACTTTGAGTTATGGTGCAAAATTTAGACCAGTCAGAAACATAACTAACAATTACTGTTGGAAGACTTTCGAAAACAACATCAACAAATTTAAAGCAAGCTATCAACTGAATTTACCTATAGATACATTTTTAAAATGGAAAGATAAAATTCTTCAACGCATATCCACCGAAATCAATCACCTCAAGTTTAAAAGTACATTGAATTGGTCGCAACTGACATCAGATATTAAAAAATTAAAAAAACATTTTACTATTACAAAAATAGATAAAGCAAATAATAACTTTAGCATTGTACGAAAACAATTCTACGCAGAAATTATTCATAAATAATTTTATAAACGCAACTACTTATCAGTTAGCCAACCTTACAGAAACATCTATAATAAACAGAATTAAAACTTTTCATAAAAAACTAAATATTACTTTAAATCCAAACTACAACAAATTTACTAACCTATATGCACTTCACAAATTCCATAAAACAACATTAAAATTCAGATTTATAGCAAATGGAACTAATAATTACAAGAAAAATATAGACTATTATTTTTCAATTCAACTTACAAAAATCTGTAAATTTATTTTCAACGATTGTAACACTAATCATAACTATTGCTAGATCATCCATAATAACACTCCTGTCATTAATGCCATTCAAACAATTAACATACAAAACATTAACTGCTATGACTTTGAAAACTTATATACCTCACTTCCTCTAGAAGAAATCTATACTAGTCTACTAGATCTGCCTAAACTCTTCCCTGATATGCTCACAATTATAAATCTTAACATATGGTAAACCTACCTAAAATGCACACTTTTTCATAACTACATCAAATTTCAAAATCAACTTTTTAAGTAAGTCAGAGGTCTACCAATGGGCTCACATTCCAGTACCTCGCTCTGTAATATCTTTTTATTTATCAAAGAATTTAACTTTATTTATCAAAGAATTTAACAAAAAATCTACAACCACATGAGTTAAATTACTACAAATCACACATCATCACAGTTACGAAATCACACCATCTTTTGAGGTAGCACTTCAAAGAAGAAATCATCAGTGTTATAGATTAAAGATTTATATTTTAGAGCAGTAATTATTCCATTTGTTTTAGACCAAATAGTAATTTGTGGCACTGTGCCGAAACTGAAAGAAGCGATTTGTTTAAAAAAGTTTTAAAAAAAAAAAACTGTATAGAGCTTAACGACGCTGAAGCGAATTCTCCCCGGAATAGAACTTTTGACAAAGTCTGATTATGCAGGAAACGTTTTGCTGAATTGAGATATCAGTTAAAATATAGATTCGTTGCTAAGGGGACATATTTGGGATGATTAATAATAGAAAAACCAGGAGAGAAGTAGGTCAACCTTTGCATCATATCTATGTTAGTTCGAAGTAATGATCGCTAAATTGTAGAACGTCGAACGATAGGTGTTAAAGGTCCCTGTTTTGGATATCGGAGAGCGAAAAAATAAAAAAGAGTTAAAGCAAGTCTCCTTACACTATTTCGAGAGACTATTCACATTAATTGCTGTAGAAACGTTAATTTTCCTTGGGTACGAAGTAAAGTGGACTTATTAAGTCATAGAGAAGGATTAGAACATGGTTTAAACTTCATTAGTTCCCAATCGAGAATAGATGATAAATTCGATATGAATGATGGCATGTTTTTATGGTGGTGTCAATGATATTCCAAAAGTGGTTAGCTGACGATATTAATGAAGAAGATGTAGAAATTCCTGGCCACTATTTGACTTACGGCTGGGTATTCAAAGAAAATTCTTCTGCAAAGATCCTTCCTATGTTCGATGCATCCTCCAAACAAAGAAACAGAAACCTGTCTTTTAATGACTGTTTGTTGAAGGGGGCCTAAACATTTAGAACAAATTGCGTCAGTGCTCATGACTTTTCCTCAAGAAGAAATTGGAGTAATATTAGTTATAAAGAAGGTCTTTCTCCAAATTTCAGTAGCCAAACAAAATTATTTTGTTTGTATATATTTGAAATTGCTTTGGTGGAGTAAGATGGCCAGATAAAGGTGTTTTAGCTCTGTAGCATTACTCTCGACTTAATTTGCAGTCCATTTTTATTAAGTGCAGTTTTACAATTTCATTTATAAAAGACAAGTTTCTCCTTTGACTTGATACTTTTTTTCTGGTAACGTTGTTAAAAATTACATTTCTTCCTTTTCTTTGGACACATGCAATATCCCTGGGACAACCTGAAATTAGGAAGACTTAAAACAATTTATAGAGACTTCAAAGAAGGTTATGACAGAAGCTTTTTTACCTAAGAGGTTGCGAGCATACCAATATTCAAGAATCAAAAGGATTCTCTGACGGATCAAGTGTTGTTGAAAATGTCTTCTGTATTAGGTTTAGCATGTAATAGGTCAATAAATACAGTTAGATGTTGCATACCCACCATAAATAAAAATCCAGACGCTGTTACAAGATGGAGCATACTATTTCTTACGCAAACGATTTTTGATCCATTTGGATTTCTGTGTCCAGTGACGTAGTTACCGAAACTTAAATTTCAGGCAAACTGGAAATCTAAACTGAGTTGAGACTCAGAGTACCTGATGAAATTAAAAGAAAATACATAAAGATCTTCATCTGCTGCGCTTTGTGAGATTTCCCTACTCCTCATCAAATAGTAATGGAAGTATCATCAAATATTAATGAACATATTTAAGCACAGCCTTTTGATGCATAACGGAAGATGCTACCTGGGAAATATTTCTACGAGGGTCAATGAAATTCATTGGTTGACAGGGAGCAAGAATGAAAATACATTTTCGGACCATCTAATCCTATTTAGCTATTTATCTTCAAGAGTAAGTTCAGCAACAAAATTCCTTTCTTTGCTGAGAGAGACCCACTTGGTCACGACTTAAAAGAAATGGCCGAAATCAGAGAAGACTTCTTATGAAAGGGCAGTCATAAAATAAAAAAAAGAAATACATTACTTCGGTAAATGAATCTAATGAAAATGACAACTTGTTATCTTACTTTCCAAGTTCTACGAAATCATCAGAATATTAGGCATGATTCTGAGATTTCTCTTCAAATCAAAGAATCGAAATGATCTGAGAAGAGATGATCTAACTGTAAATTAAATAAATGAATCTGAATCTTAGAAAAGGATTATCAAAATTATCAAAAAAGTTTCTAAACAAACAAGCACATTAAATATTTAAGGTCATTTAATTTTTTTCAAATAAATGATACCAAATTCATTTTTATAATTCTTACAGATGAACATATATGTGTTAAGCTATCCTTCAAAAAACAAATCTGACATTAATTCAAGGTTTACGCAAAGCAAAATGATTCTCTTTCTCTTTCTATATATATGTATATAATTAAATATATAACATTAAGTTTTGGTTAATGAGAAGGAAGAATTTCAGTTGTCTTCTGGAAACAATTCGAAAAATAGTCATTAATTTAAGCTAATGCGTTTTTCTTTTGGGGACAGGAGGTGATATATATCACAAACCGTGCATTTTCGAAGTTAAAACTACTTCATGAATTTTACCATAATTGATAACTTTATTAAAAATATTCATTTTAGGAAAACTTTTCATTAGTGATAATGTCTTAAGTAGTCAGATCAAATAAAGATATTGTAAAAAATGTCATTCTGGTCCTATTAGATGAACTCGAATCGTTCAAAAATTGTATTATATATTCTTTCTAAAAACTTTTAGATAAAATTAGATTAAAATAATGTGAGAAAGAATTATTTTCATGTACTTTTTAAACTGAAATGTTTAAATCTATAAAAAATGTATCAGCCGTAAACTACTTACTCGAAAAAATGGGAATCTGGTCTGATTTGAAATTTCGTGATTGCCAATATTGCTTCCAGAAAACCAACTGAGGGTTTGCTGCACCATATGTGGGAAAATTTTCGAAGTTCTTGGCTGTCATGGATATTCGAAACCAGAGGTGAGCTAGAAGAATACAAGTAACAGCCAGAATGGTCACAAGAAGAGCTAAATATAGAAGCAGAAGTAGCATCCCCATCACAGAATATAAAGATGTAATTAGAATAACAGAGATTTTACACGGAGTGTAAGAAAAAAAATAGCCCCTTTTTTCTTCCGGCCTTTTCTCCAAAATGGCCCACTTTTTGTTCCTCTCTCATCTTTTATACAGGAAAATGCATTGCTTTGTGATTCAGCTGATCATCCTTTCTAATATCAGGTATATCTATCAGTGACCTTCAATTAATATCCGATTTATTAATAAAGGAAACAATAAAAATCTGCATAATAAAGGAAATAGAAAATAATATTTTTATCCTTATGCAGTACTTTTACGAAATTTTCTTGCTCATTAGCAATAAAATCCCAAAGAAAAAATATTTAAAATATTGCCTCATCATAGTTAGATAAAATTTAATCCTATCATAAGGATTCTTTTTAAACAAGATGCTTATTTTATGTACATTAAAGAATAACAGCTTAGAAACTCAGTAAACAGGACTTTGGATAAATTGTAATTTAAATTCGCTTACATTTATAAATAATTCTTAAAATTTCTTCTCACCACACTGATATGAAACGTAAAAAAAAAAATCATTTTATCTGACTGCTTAGGTAATTGACATTTCATCCAACTGCTTTCTTTATAATTCCAGTGTCAACATAACACAGCATGTATTTATGAAATGCCAAAGTAAGAGTTGATAAAGTTTGAAATGTCAGAGTCACAAATTCTGATTAAACAAAAATTTAAAAATATCACGTTTCAGTAATTTTGTTTCAGCAATGTGTGTATTTTGGTCAAAGTGGTTTGAATGGTATGAGGTCATTTGATAACAGAATAATGTAGAAAATCAAAATGTCTTTACATAACAGTTTATAGAAGGAATGGCTTAGCGTAGATGAAACAGTAATATTAAAAATACTTTCGCGAAACTACCTCCATCTCCAAACGCAATAGTTTATATTTAAATGACGATCTATTTTTTTCTTTAATCTTGTAAAAAAGGACAATTGAAGCTTTAAGAGCGAAGTCTGCGTAGATACTAGGCCAACCATGCGGAAATTTCTGTCAATGACTGTACTGCGTCCTGTTATATTGAATAAGAAGAAAATACAATATCAAGTTCAACATGAGTTCAGATGTGGGCTGTTGAAGATAAAGATCAGAAAGGCATACGAAGATCTGCAGAACATAATATCTTACGAATTATTATTGCTCAGATGTGCACAGAAACTCTGAACTGATATTAAAGTCGAATTAAAGAAGCATGTAAAGTGTCTCACAAAAGTGTTCGCACACTTCAAAAATTTGCAGAAAAAGCGCTGTAACCCGAAATTTAATTCGAATATAAAGCCCAATATTTTTCCATATCTTCTCTAAGTAACTTTGAATAATACCAAACTGTTTAATTTTTAATACTGATTTATTTTCCTTTCTATAATTGAAAATGTAAGAAAGCATAGATAAAACATGTCACAAAAATGATCGTACACTGAAAAATTTTCGAAAAATTTTATAAATAAAATTACCGCCTACCACCTTTTTCTTATTTTATATTTTGGTTGGCGTTTAAAACCTAGTTTGGCTTTATTTTTGTCTGCTTACTTCGTTATATTTTATTTAATATTAAAAAACATCGTAGGTGTAAGGAAGCAACGGGCTAACTGACAGAAATGCTACAATATTTGCTAATATGGTCATGATGTCTTTAAAGCGTACGAAGACTTTTGTAAGGTAACTTTTCTGTTACTTTTTTATTATTGATTTAAAAAAAAAAAGTTTTAGTATGTTCATAAAATAATTAATGTAATTTTGCTAAGAGAAATTTATAAATATTGTTAAAAAATTTCATTCTAAAATATTAATTTTTATTAATGAATAAAGCAATATTCACTGAAACACGTAAGAGTCTGAACACTTCTGCGAGCAACTGTAGTTTCCAAGATGCAGTTTTTTATGTGTTTAGAATCCAAAAGACAAATACTACTCATTCTGATCGGGCAGATGTGACGTATGTAAACACAAATCTTTCTGTTCAAAATTATTGTTTCTTTCACACTTTTAGCATAGCTGGTCTTATCTGAATTGCATTTTTAATAGGGAAACAATTACGCTTATTAATTAAAAAGTGATAAAATATGCAAGCGTATTTTCCTTCTGCGTTATCATTTCGAATTATCGGAATTGTAACTGAAATCAAGATGAAAAATATATTTCAGCTAGAATATTTTCTTATATTTTCTAAATAGAAAAATTATTTAAAATTATTTTTGATTATTATCTTTTCAAGAATGATGAAATGAAACTATCGTTGGTTTTGATAAATTAGTTTTTAAATATGCAAGGATTCTCAGAATTAGGACATTTTGCCGTTGATTACCAAAAGACTAAGTTAGGAGACCATGTTTTAAACTTCATGTTTCAATTATTGAAAGGTAGGTGGGTATAAGCAGTATTATATTTTCTGAATAAAGTTTTGGTTTGGTTTATTGAGATTATGGCAAAGCACACTAGGGCTATCTGCCTAAGGGGAGGGATGCCTTCGTGGAGGACTTTCTAAGGGAAACTGACTCGTATACACGTTACACATGGAGAAAACCACGAAAACGCCCATGCAGCCAGCCCGTTCGCGGGATTCGAACCTCGGACCGAACTACCAGTGTTCAGCGACTTTACCGCTCGGCCGCTGGTGGGCCTTTCTGAATAAAGATGCTGCTTTCAGGAAAGATTAACTAATATGCCAAATTTACAAAACCATTGTATTTTCTTAAAGTAAAAGGTTACTCTTATTTAATACTGAATTTAAAAAATGTAAAGTAAGCCTGAATGTTTTTAAAATATGGATATTATTTGCTTTTTCTATGCATTAATCCTACGTAAAATTTGCATTTCTTTATTATGTATGCAATGCTTTTACAAATTCTGTTTGCATTGTTGTAAATTAATCGGGCATTTAAGAATAAATAAATAAAATGTTTTTTCTAACTCACTTCTGGCAACCCTAAAAAATGCCAAGACACACGGGCGTCAAACACGGCAACTATGTTAATCACGTGATATTAATTTATCCCATGATTCTCTTTTTCTTTAGTCATTATTAAGCTTCTGCATGTGCTCGTATTAACAGTAATGTATCTATCGCTTATATTATTTTAGTCGCAGTAGAATAAATATGTTACTAGCGTTTAAATCTGCGTCGTATTATTTACGGATAAATCCCTCATATCATCATTCATAAAGTTTCGGAGACTCAACTGCTGCTATTGAGTGCACAAAAGGTAAGCTGTTTTTGTTATCTTTATTCTTCGTTGATTATTGAGCCTGATTGTTGTAAATCCCGAAACTAAAATTTAAATTGTGCATATAAACTTTGTGAAACTGCTAAGTAAGAATTAATAATGGCACAGAGAAGTGTTAAAGATAGTATGCAAATAACGAAACTGAATTTCGAAAATTACGCTAATTAGAAATTCAAGATTCAAATGCTTTTAATGCGTGATGGGTTAGATGGATCTTCTTTATTCTCCCCCACCTTTTAACCTGATGATGAATTTTTAAAGAGGGATAAACAAGCACGAGCTATAATAAATCTACGCATTGATGACTCTCAGATTATTCATGTGAGAGATGAAACGACTACCGCCGGTACATGGCAGAAATTAAAGTCAGTTCACGAAATCTTTTCGAAAGGTTGGGGGTAGGGAAACAAAAGGAAGAAGCTCTTTAGCGTATTTTTCCTTGGAATTCCAAATTGGGAGTTTACCTGTTAGCAAGGTATAGCAGTACCTTAATCACATATAGTTACCATACAGGTTTTGAGTAACTTCTACATGTTCCTGTGCTAATGTCTGGCGCCCAGTCGGTATAGTGAGTGAGTGAGTGCACCGCTATGATGGCTTCCGACCACGGACATGAACCAAACGGAATTATATACCATCACGGCGGGGAAGACTCCAGAGTAACAAGGTTGAATATTATTATACTAATAACAGTTTTTACATATTGATAACTGCAAGGCACTAAGCGTTATTCTAATTATCTGCTTTAAGTTCTGAACTTTTGAAACATTATAATATTATCCACGGTTGTTTCTGCTTAGGCAGTGTTCTGAGATTTTCTCTATTTTATCAAGGGCTATTCTGTTTGAGTGTGTTAGTCGTCCACATTGCCCAGGCACAGTCCGCTGGTTTCTTCAAGTGCCAGGTTCTTGTATGTACACAATGGAAGTAATAATGGTCCGTGTCGCCTTCCTCTCCGCATTCGCAGAAAGGAGTATCCCTAAGTCTGAATTTGTTCAGGTATACTGGGAATGGTCCATGACCTGTCAAGAACTGTGTTAGGCTAGCACAGTGGGTCTTTATTTCCATGTTAACTTTTGGCAGTAAGCGAAATGTCCTTCGTCCTACCTCTGCTTCTGTCCATCTACTTTGCCAATTTTGTAGCAGACTTGTCAAAGTTGTTCGCTTAATATGAGACCAAGGAAGTTTAGTTGGTCTTTGTAATATATCCGTGCAGTTGGCTGCCTGCATGGCCAGTAGGTCAGCGGCTTCATTGCCTTGAATCCCTGTGTGAGCGGGAACCCTTTTTAAAGTGGGTCTTTGCGAAATAGGCATTGTCAGAAGCTGTTTCTGAATTCTGTATACCAAAGGACTCCGGCTGTTTTGACTTGCGATAGCCGCCAGACTTGATGCCGAATTACTGAGTATGGAGAATTTCTCCTGTTGACATGTTTTCGCATATCTAATTTCAACACTGATAGCTAGAAGCTCTGCTTGGTATACCGAGTTGTTCAAGCCTAATTTCCTTTTCCACTCGAATGTTACAACTCCATTTTCTAGTCTACAGAAGGCGCTGCCCGTGCCGTTCTCAGTTTTGGAGCCATCTGTGAAAAGGTTATTACTGTACCTCTGAATTGGTTGGTCGTTTATACTGATACTGTCGGAGAGATTAAAAGCTGCTGGATGAAAGTTTTTGCAGTTGTTTTGATCCTCGTAGTCCAAGTGGTGATAACTATGACCCCAGAGTGTTGAAGTTTGACCCAGCCTGGTAACCAGCCCGTACGATAGCTGCCTCCCTTTCTGCTATCAAATCTAGGGGAG